TCTATCTATAAAGTTATGATGTTATAATTATATTATTAGTTTAACTTAAATAAAAGCTCTACTGTACAAACAACACTTTATAATTTAAAATAAATAAATTTCTATTTCATAATAATATAACATTTAAATTGTATTTATTATATTATTAGCCAAACAATCTGAATTAAAACCCTACTTTCTCAAAGATAATTTTATAACATAACATAAATAAAGTAAATAATTAAATAAATACATAAATAAATTAAAATGGTATATTATATTAAAAAGATATTATTACATTATTAGCAATTTGAATGAGAAGCCTCCTTTCTCAAACATAATTTTATAAGGTAGGTAGGTAGATAAATAAATAAAAATAAATAATAGATAAATAAGTATATTATATTATTTTAAAGTTATCATTATTAATTATTATTAGCTTAATTTGAATGAGACCTGTACTTTCTCAAACATCATTTTATAATGTAACAAATAAATAAGTACATTTCATATTATTAGAAAGGTATTTTATTAAATTATTAGCATAATTTGGGTGACAACTTTAACTTCACAAACATCACCATTTTAGAATAGAATAGAATAGAATAGAATAGAATAGCTAAACCTGATATAAAGTCACTGGGCTAAAGCAAATCCCTTGTAATTCTTGCTTCATCTGTCCACTGTGCCCCAGATTTCTTGTTCACTTCACTGAGACTTATAATTGGGTAACAAAAGAAACCTCTTGTTAAAAACCTCAGGGAAAGTTATCAAAAAGGGGTGAATATTCAGACAGTGCTTTTGAATCCCTTTAGAACAGCCAAAAACCATCAGAGGGGTTTTACAGAGTATTACACTTCAGAGAGAATCACAATATATATCATCAAGTTATGAAATGACCTGAAATGGTCTGACGAGCTCTTCATAATCATTTTATTCTTATGTAGCTATCTTTTTGACCATCAGAATGAAGTCTGGTCCACTTTGCAGTCAGGAATTGCCTAATTAGACAGGAAGGAGGCCTCTGATGCTCTTTGTAGCACTTCCATGCAGACATGACCTCTAACATGACCTTAATTTTATTAAAAGTGTAGGAAAAGCTTGCTTAATAGCTTAAATAACACTTTCATTTCTTCCACTATTGGCTGCCTCTGAATCACTTATGACCCATGGAGTTCATGTTTAACCATGCACAAACCAACTATTCATTCACTGTATTCAAGGCTCTTACTGTAAAGACCATCAGAAGAGTTACAGATGGCAAGCAATCACCCAGGTGGACAATGAGGTATGCAACCTCACAAAAGCTGTCACCGTAAGAGCAGGTCGACTTCGTGTTATCACATGGCTCAGTGCAGACACATATCACAGTGCTGTACTTCAACACATTTTTTATCTATAGAACTGGGCTCACTCATGCACAGCGTACTGCAAACCATTCAGCAACAGAGAGAGTAAATGCAGTGAATGGCACCTTCAAATACCTTCAGAGAATATCAGTCTGGTTTAGTAACCCCCCCACTCCTCCTTAAAGAAGTATACATATACTTCTTTAAATGCTGCCATTTAGTTTTCACCAACATATTTCCAGAAAGACAATAATAATTGACTGTACCAATGCGGTACAATAAGGTTAATTTTACCCAGTCCAGTGCCTTATGAGAGCATTATAACCCTTCCTGTTCTTTGTGCCTAATTAAAACCTGATTTATAACAGAGCTGGAGACCTCACAGACCATAAATCCCAGGGTCAGAGGCGGTCAGTGAGACGCCCATCATCCAGGAAGTGACTACCTCACTGATCTGGGAATGACACATGTAATAGAACAAAGAATTGTGGGATCAGGTGCATCGGCCTGGACTGTACATGGGATTTTTTTCAACTGCAGCCCACCCCCTCAATTTGGTCCCAGGACAGTCATTTGCCTCATTGGCCTGTTACGTCCAATAGCAGCTGCAGTAATTGGCTATTTCAAAGCCGTGAAGGTTGAGCTAGCAAGGGTAGAAAGGCCAAGCAAGCCAGCTGTCAGTAACAAACAAAGCCCTCATTTATCAATTACCAGCACCAACACGTGAGTGACATAATCGTGGTCTTGATGTTTGTCAGCTGAAACGTCACCTAAGAAAATCTTTAAACATATATATTTTTTTCTGTGTATAAAATGCTAACAAACTTACATTTTAAAAATACTTAAAAAAAAAAATTAATACATACATAAATCCCTGTTTTTCTCTCATATGATAATTCAGACTTTACTTGGGAATATTTTTTTCTTCAATTTAAAACATTAAAATTTAAATGACAATTTTTATTTTTATTTTTTTTTGTTTTTTTTATATTTTGAAAAGTGAAGAAATAAAACAATGGACAATTCAAAACACTGTAATTTAAATAAATTCTATTCCTTAATTTCTGGCCTGGTTTTGCCTTTACTTCTTGTCTGCTTGAGCAGTTTGTCCCAGCTAACTGCTTCAACACAGCAAAAGCTGTTGTGCATGATAAAACATCCTTGATTTCCAAAAGGCACTGGGCTTTTAAATTACATTTTTAGCCTTGGTGATAATGCCTCTATTTGTGTGCATCTGTCTGTCTGTGTGTGTGTGTGTGTGTGTGTGTGTGTGTGTATGTCTGGTGTCTGTTGTTTAAGGACACTAAAACTGTAGTTTTGCTGCTGGTCAGATGATCAAAAGGCAAAATTTTATGACTACTCCCAACGACTTCCAATACCTAATTACTAGGAGATGGAGGGAAAATACCATCTCAAATAGTCCCCTAATTAAAATATTAGACTCTCAGGAATTAGGGTCTCCAGTGATGCCAAACAGATATATAGCTGCTTTAATATGTAAGATTGTGATTACAGCAGATGATAGAGCCCTGCTTTATTCTTTCTCTCATTAAAGATTATAATTGCCCCTCACATCAAATAAAATCAGACAGGGCAGTATCAGGGTGTAAGCACGTTTGATATTGTTACTTTTCTGGTGTAATTATAACAGGACACATTTGTTAACAACATAGCAGCATCCATTACGGAAGCCTGGGTGAATTACGGAGGTCCGAATTGCAGTGGCAAAATAAATTTCAATTACTGTCTCCATTATCTAAAATTGGATTTCTCTGAAACCCACAAACACACAGGGACACATGTATACACCCACCCGAGCGCACACAAAAACCACAAATGAACTAAAAAACCCAAATGACTGAAAGGTCACCCAGAAGCTCTGAATCATGACTTTAATGTGGTCAACAAAGTTGGTTGAAATCAAACGAATTGCATAAAGCATTAGCATCTTGCAATTCTTTGAAGAACAGCAAGTGTCTTTGGACCGCTGTCTGTGTTGTGTTTGATTGTGAAGACTGCTGGTTTTTCTGCAATTTAGGGTTGTTTCCCAACAAGCTCTGTCCACTGATTATCTGCTGGAAAAGGACTGTATCTCGGATAAATCAATTGGGAAAAATACAGACTAGCACCAAAACTGCCAAAGTATATACTAGTGGGTCCACAATTAATATAACAGGTTTCGTTTTTAACAAAAAGCCAATTAGACCATTCCTGTAGAGTAAAATAACTCATTAGAGGAATCATTGAGCAGTGATTCTGTCATCATTCCAAACCTGTATGACTTTTATTGACTGAAAATTCACCCTAAACCTACTTGGAATGTTGAAGAGTTCACAAGAGAAGAAGCAATGCCAGATTTGTGAACAAATAATTTTTCTGAATCAGTTCTTTTCAAAGAACTCCGGCACTTTTATTAAAAAAAGCGTATTCTGATCTGACAGTTCAAATAAAAGGATAGATGGATGCATGGATAGACAGACACACTACCGGTGGATGAGCGGATAGATAGATAGATAGATAGATAGATGGATGGATGGATGGATGGATGGATGGATGGATGGATGGATGGATGGATGGACGGACGGACGGATGGATGAATGGGTGTTGGATGGATAGATAGATAGATACACTATGGATGAATGATCGATGGATGGACAGACAGACTATGGATGGATGATGGATAGATAGGTACACTATGGATGGATGAATGGATGGATAGATAGATAGATAGATAGATAGATAGATAGATAGATAGATAGGTAGGTAGGTACACTATGGATGGATGGATAGCTAAATAAATGGATGGATGCGTGGATAAATAGTTAGGATTCCAAACTACATATTGATGTGGCTTGGATTAGGTTTGCAAATGGTTTATATGTGGTTTTATACTGATAATGCTACAAAAAAAAAAAAAAAAAAAAACGAAATTAAGTCAGAAACACCAAAAAAAATTATATTTTCTGAACAAAGAGTCCAGAATCCTTCTCGTCAGAGAAAAACATCTTGCTGTGGATTCTCAAAGGTGGGCAGACATGATTTCAGCTACACTAATGGCTCTTGAGTATTTTTGCTCTGGCGGTAATGGCAGGTGTGTGCTCATATTTACACAGGAAGGCTCAGTCATGAACCAGTGGGCGTAATTGTCCTGGTAACCAAAAGACCATCTCTTCTCTGCCTCAAAATGGATCTGGTGTCTTATTTTTCAGGAGGAATGGAAAAGACAATTATGTAGACCAAACACAGATGCTTTTCTCTTTCACTATAATTATTTTGTCTTGATAAGGGAACACACAGTAAACTCACAATATATAAATAAGCTAGATGTGCACATTATGACCCTTACGAAAATTACCATGCTTGTACTACAAAAAAAAAAAAAAGTTAAACCATGGTAACCACAAATTAACCATGGTTTTGCTACACTAAGCATAGTTTAACCATGGTATTTGTAGTAAATCTGTGGTTATATAAATGGTAATCAATACAACAAAAAAAAACATGGTTACTACAATTTTACTATAATAAAACCAAGGTTAATTTTTGTAAGAGGAACCCAAGTGTCCAGCAACAATTGATGTTAGACTGAAAGCCATTGCTTTTCAATACAACACCTCCAAGATGGTTAGTCTGACAGCTAGTCTTCATTAAAAAGCTGTCTGGATTGCCTCCTGAGAACATGCAAGAAACTTTAACGGTGCATCTCCTAAATGAAACGGTACAGCTTTAACCACACAAACATTAACTATTAGAGTTAAAGGCAGGCAGACGAGAAATTCATTCACATGCTTGAAACAACACAGAGACTGAACCAAGTCCAGTAACATAAAATGGGAAGGAAACTGCTGCTAATGTTATCGGATAATTAGCACAGTTAGCATTAATAACAATAACTAGGGTTAAATACCGATTCATATAATTTATGCAGTAAAAGTATGTTTTTGGGACATTTCCATTACATTTTATTACATCTATTTACCTCGGTAGATTTTAATCACAATGTATATCTTTAAAGTGTTCTCAAAATGAGTTTTTTCTCATGCACCGAGTTAGAAATCTCCACTTCAGTAGCACTTACACCAAGCTTTACAAGTTTATTCCTATCTATATTTTGAAGGTTTTTACAGAAGGGCTTGTTAATATATCATTCACCTCATTTATATAACACTTCATAAACATGTGAAACATAGTGAAAACATAGTGAAAACTTAAATCATAATTTTCTTATTTAAAGAGTGATAAAACAATATCCTATCCTATACTAAACTTTAACTCTAATAGTCAATATGAAACAACAACCTTGAACCTGGCTTTATCCAATCTGCAGATTTCTGTATAACATATATATATAATTAGATAAGGCCTTAATTTACTGGCTTGAACTTTTAAGGCATTTATTAGTAAGTAGACAAACTTACTAAGATTAGTTGGAATTGGTTTACTGCATAAACAGCCATAAAACAAAACAAAACACACTGAAACTATGAAAGGTAATATGACCTTTTCATTCCTCCAGAGATATTTACTCTAATGGAGTGTTATGTTGCCTAAGCCAGAGATATCTGGTTTCATTAAACACACCGAGGCACTCAGCAATATAATTTTCATACAAAGCAAACACAATTTCGCTAAGAAAGTGAAGTGTTTACGCTGATTTAAGTCTGACGAATGTGAGCAATTCTAATGAGACTGAGTTACTGAGGAAAAATTCATGAGTCATCTTAAAAGGATATTTTAACCTTGTCATGGTTGGGGGGGGGGGGGATTCA